GCAGGGCTGGCGTCACAGAGAAGGGAGGGGAGGAGAGAGAAGCTGAGGACTGTCCCCAACCAGCTGTGTGGCACAGACTCAGCCACTTCCCCTTTCTAGGTCACAGCTTTCTCACCAGTTACCTGAAGGAGTTGTGGTACCAGCCAAGATTCCTTCTGAGTGAGGACTTGCCTTGAGTCCCACAAGGAGTGGAGAGGAGACGGTTCTAGCTCCCTGAGGGAGAAAAAGGCTCCGAGATCAACTAGTAATGCCTGCCAAGCGTGCAGCAATGACAGTGTAGGTGTGTGCTGGCTGTTCTCAAGGGCACCGCTAGCATCTTGGGCGTCTGTGTGAGGGGAAGGAGCAGGGGACAAAAGAAGCAGTTTCTTCCTCCAGCAGCTGCTCTGTAGGGGAAAGTGATCAGAGATTCGTTTTCTTATCTTTCTTCTTTCTCTGTTTTTCTTCCTTCCTTCCTTCCTTCCTACCCTTTGTTCACGTTTCCTCTCTCCTTTCTCTCTTGGTATTGGTTTATTTTTGTCCTATGAATACGACTTTGGTTCCATCATGAGGTCTCCTTCTACATCAACTACTGTCAAGCCCTCAAAACCCAATTCACTGCCATTGGGTCGATGCCCATTTACAGAGACCCGATAGAACAGGGTAGAACTGCCCCCTCTGAGTTCCTGAGACTGTAACTCAGAAAACCTCATTTTTCTCCCAACGGAGCAGCCAGTGGTTTCAAACAGCTGATCTTGCAGTTCGCAGCCTGATAACCACCCCTCCCAGTCACTGGGCTTGTACTCAAATCTCAGTCTCACAGTCTGGTTCTGGCTGAACCCCAGGCAAGGCATTCAGGACCCTAGATAGTCACTCCCTCGCCAGTCCCTGGCCCGATCCAGCAGGAGAAGCAGACGGCTGCTGTCATTGTTCACAGACGTCCAGCACCCTGGGAGAAACAGCAGGGGCCAGGCTCTCCTCAAGGCAGTGGCACCCCGCTTCCCGCAGATCAATGCTGGCCCACGAGCTGGGACCTCAGCGCGAACTCTGTTCACACATGACAATGACAGCCCAGTACAGGAGGAGATAGGCAGCGGAGATTTTGCAGAGAGCAGGGAGGGGTGGGAACTCAGGGTGTGACCACAGCTGGAGCGCT